ATAGAATAGAAAATGAATCAACACCGGCCTACCTCAAAACTCCATTTTAATGCAATATTATCCGAATTTAGAGCATACACGTAATGGAATAGTCTTCAGCTTGAGAGTTTTCATTCGTATATATGTTTTGACATGACGTTAATGCGCCAAGATCATTCTTAAAATTTGGCGGAATTTTATTTTCTTTTGATTTTATACATTTTTTAAGATCTTGTGCATTAATTTTTGTAGTTATGCATATCGAGAATGTTATCACGCTGCTGTTTACAAAGCGAAAGAAGCACGTCATATTAAAACCGAAAATAATTCCTAAACTTGAATACAGTACTCTAATTCGTTATGTTATGACCGATGCCCGTTTCTGTTACGTCCAAAGCTAATCAACCAGATGGCTTATTGCAATTTTATTCTGTCACTTGCAAGTCTTGCAAGAATCCTAATCTTAAACCTATAGCTTGGAACTGAGAAAAAAATCATTTAAAGGAAGCATCTTAATCCCCGAAAAGTATATATGAATATAAAAAATATCTTAAGTTTATATTTATATATTAGTAACAGCTACTATGTAAATATATTACTGTGTTTTGTAAACGATGTTACAGGGTCGCAGGTGAAACATATCTGAATTACCAAATAATTGGTATTCAAAATATAAACCATATTTCATTGCAGCTTTACCAATAAAAGTCAGTTTGCAAAAACTTAATTGATACAAATACATCATCTCATCTGAAAAGGTTTATTAGTAACAAAACTAGAATGTATTTTTCTTTTGTGAATTTAATATTGTGAAATAGGTTCAAAGATCGATGAATTCAATTAATAGAGGTTTTAATCCCTTTGGGTATATGTTGTCATTTTTACAAAGATCAACTACAACATCTCCCTAAACAGAGCTTTTTCTACAAAAATGGGACACTTAGATACGAATTCATTGCTTTAGGTCACGAAACATCTTACGTTGTGAAGAACCACACTGATTTCAACAAAAAATTCACCGAAGATGAAATCATCAAAATATCTGATTTTTTTTTATCGACAACATATTTGTTGATTTTGATTAAATGCTATTTCAGCGGACAATCAGTATTCCAATTGGTACTTATTATGCACCACTACTAGTCGACCTTTTTGTACTCATTTGAAGCAGAATTCATGCATATCGTTCTCATAAACAAAAACAAAAAGCATCTTAAAAAGTTCTTAAATTTCACTTTTAGATATATTGATGATGTCACTCAATAACCCACATTTCAATGAGTGCGTTCATCTCTTATATCCCAGTGAACTTGAAATTAAGGATACTATTCAAAGTAGATGGTATGTTTCATATCTTGATCTTCTTCCCGATTTTGACACATATGGACGACTTCAAATTAGAATATATGACAAACGCGATGATTTGAACTTTCCAATTGTTAGTTTCTCATTTCTCAGCAGTATAAAAGTATTAACTAAATTCAAAAAGGAGGAAAGTCCATAAAACCTGAAAAAATCGAACGCACGAATATATCAACTGAATGAACGAATTGAAAACAACTGGTATGTTCCTGACTTAATACAAGCATTTTTTTTAAAAGCAAATTGTAGGTTAAACCTATATAGCTAGTTAAGCCTCTTCCTTGTAACATACATTCTGCTCCATCGTTTGACGTTTACATATCTCAATTAATACGTTACAGTCGTTCATGTTCACACTATACGGACTCCATTAACAGGGATGTGCTCTTTACACAAATCTGCTCAAATGGAGTTATGAGTAGAAACAACTAAAATCGATACTATAAATAAGTTTTACAGTCAATTTCACGAATTGGTTGACCGATACGATGAGTCGGTGTCTCAACTCACTAGCGACATGTTTTTGCGGTCTTAAATCGTGAAATACCAGTAAAGACGTCTGATTTTTCATTTAACCGATTGTGTTTTACTCCCGATTGTGACATTTTGAGTGTAAAATAGCATGGTGGATGATGCATGTATAACAGGAGAACTTACCCTGTCGACGCAGCCGTTTTCGCTCCTTTTGGAGTGCATACGATTCCCGCTACATATATGTCTCGTCCTAATTGATTTACGAGATTGTAACCTCAATACACTCCTGTCGTCTTAATTTACATCACTGAACTCATTGATTAGTTGTTTAATTGACAATCATACCACACTTCTTTATTTTATTATCATTTAATCTGGGACTTACTGTTTCAAAAGTTTATATTGAAGTCTTAACATTTAATTGTTCCTGTCTGTTTAATGTCTGGAAATCCTTTTAAGGTAAAATCATGTTATGCATAATAAGAAACAACCTCAAGTAACGTAAACTTTTGTGACACCTTTGAAAGTATATAAAAAAATAATATTCACAATTGAGTTGAATCCATAAGACATTTATCTTTAATATATATAGAAATTGAAATTGAAGTATATTTAAGCACAATTTTAAAAAAATCAATGTAGTTTGATAAAACACAAATGCAATCAAATTAAATTAAATGTGTTTTTCTTATATTGAATTATTTTTATATTCATATTTTTTTTAAAGATATGTATCCTTCCTCGTGAGAAATAAAGATATCAGCATACATTTACATCGTCAGAATTTGTGAGAATAAACCATTGAAATACGTACCATCTACGGTAAAGCAGTTAGACCATACCGAGGCTCCTACTAATATTGTTGATATTTTACCACTTTTATTTGTTGTTAGTGAACATTTTCTGTGGCTTGAGGAAAAAAACTGATAAAAAATAAAACAGAAGAATAGATCAACAAAAGTTCATTGATTTCAGCTAGGTTATCAAATTTAATCTTATTAGAAGACTGAATGCATTATGAGTGAAAATGTCGATTTTTAACATCTTGAAATACTAGTAAACTAAATGAACTGGTTTTAATTATTGATGGTTGCTTAATGTTCAGCAGCAAATATCACTTACTTGGCGCTGCTGCCTCAAACACAGATGGTATGATACCTACAAACCTGTATGTAAAGTCTATTGACATTCACAAGTATATGTCCCCAAAAGGTGATATCCTGCTCACTTTACTAAAAGCATTACGTACAGTCAGACAGTCAAGCAAATATGCTGCAGCGCAACAAAAAAACAACCCAAACACAAGTTTGAGTTAACTGGAAACCCACTTGAAGAGACGGGGCTACAAACATCAGACTATCAAGCAATGTTTTTAGAAAGCGAAGAATATTCCAAGAAGCAAGATGTTCGAATACGAAAATAACCATTGCATGATTCCATGTGCTCTTATTTACCACTCATCTATAAAAAGCAGTTCAGTGTCATTCTGGAGCATTGGAAATCTGTTCGGAAAAGTACAATAGTATACACCTATTGACTGGGTATGAGGATAATAGCAAGTTTGTTGTCCCTGAGATACCAACTATTGCTCGAGGCGAAGCCAGTCATTAAGTGTGTTATTATACCGAACAAAACAACTTTCTAAAAAGACTACATACACCACTTGAAAAAAAAAAATGATCATATAGACATGTACAACATGAACTATCAGGTTTTTTTCCCTGTGTGGTATTTGTCAATAATCTATTTACTGTAATCAGGAATCCTTGTGTAAAAATTCCCGTGCATCTGATAATTATTAGCTAAAATATTTTACCGTACACCAAAGCAATCCCAGATTATGAAGACGACGACAGACCAATACCATACATTACATGTTTTAGTTCTTAAAATATGTCGCGTAGATTTTCTTTTTCAATTGCTTCTGGTAAGTAATATATTAATTTGAAATTACGACAGATACATACAGATTATAACGTTTACGATAATTCAGAGTTTAACGTTGCCAAGCGCACAAATCCAAGCAGAATAGTCGATGACGTCATTGTTGTCCAATGAAAAATTAGTATGAAAAGTACGGGAAATATGTTTATAAAACTATTGACCGGGGTAATAGTCTTTGAAACTATTGACTGGCAAATAGTCTGTGGAATGAAATAGCACAAATATTTCATTCTTTTTTATATAGAAAAAACATACTGAGGTATAATAATATCCAATATCTTTCCGGACCCGCCCCCTTTCACTGATAATTTTCAACCAACCAAATAGCCTGAGGAACCTACTGAAACGTTGGAAGTGTCTAAGCCAAGTTTTGGGTCTGGAAAATGCAGTTCGTGTGGTGACAAACGCTCCAATTGCTGTACACAAATTCATCTTTTCATCAACATTGGTCAGTAAGGCCCCCAATAATCCATAAACTATTTTGCAATGTGACCTGCAAAAGTTTTATGTTATTTTCACTCAAGAATATTTGGTATGTGATCTCCAATATGGCCATAGGAGCGATATCACAAAAATCTATATCTTACAGTGAACCAAAACAGTCTGACCACAACCTCGATGACTTGATTAAAGTTCTGATGGTTGAATACAGTGATGTACATAGGAAAGTACTGAGAAATAATCTGAATAAAGGAACTAAATATACTTCACAAACCGAGAGGCATAGCTGACTTTTTTGTTTCAAATTTCAGTGGTATCTTTTTGCTTTATATCCAATATTAAACATGAATACACTTATATTTTGACAGTTTCTTATGTATAGATATGCACCCACGCGTTTTGGATTAAGTTTGATATATACCTTTCAAGATTACTGATTTAAAATTAGTAAATGAGAAGATTCCGTAATTGCATTTTGAAAAGACAGATTGACACTGACGAAGGCCATTGTCGTGCCGAAACGTTTGTCTCTACGATATTTTATTGAAATTATTCCTATATATTATCTTTTATCAGTATCGTTTCACAAATCTTCAGACTTTTATTTACAAACATCTCTTTCTAAAATATTTATTTATATTTCATGGTACAACCGAAAATGTCACGATGAGTGTTTGGTTAAAGTATAAGATCACGAAGAGGAAATTATACTTCAACTGACGATATACACTTGAAATAAGATGCCAAATTAAGTAATTTTCGAGGAACCAGAACATTAATAATTTAAAGAAAATCTTATGGTCACGAAACGGAAAAAACAACTTGAATGGTATTTAATTATATCTATGGAATGACATCTGGTTATAACCATAAGGCGGTTTGAACAGTACTAAACAAGGTAAGCTTGAAATTTGTGGACTATATCAGAAACGGTACCCACTTCACTAATGTAATTTCATTGATTTAGATACAACTAAATATCAATATTATAGATACAATAATTAACAAATATAAATTTTACCTTCTACGCAACATAAATTAGAGGACAACGGATTTTTTACGAATAAAGAACCAATCATTATATTATGTGTAATATAAAAACCGAAATGAATAGCTGTAATTATCATTTATAATAAACCATCAAAGTTCTCCTTCTTTGACACCCGCCAGTCTTGAACAAAACGAGATAAACTAGGCCAAACTACATTCAAAATACAATCATAAAACCTATATTGATAATGTAATGAAAAAAAAAAACCTGTATCCAAAACCCCATGCCCGAAAGACCGTCTACGGAGTCACACATTGGACAGTACAATATGAGATATGTTTATATGAGACAATCTTAAAATAAAGAGACGAAAAATGCCAAAGGGGTACTTAAACTCAAAAGTCGATAACAAGCTGGCAATGAAAAACGATCAAAAGATAAACAGTATACAAAACACAACAAAGAAGACTAAAGATTGAGTAACACGAATCCCACCATAAACTTGGAGGTGATCTCAGGCACTCCGGAAGGGTAAGTAGATCCTTCTCAACATGTTGCTAGGCAATGTTGCTTATGTAAGTACAAACCTAGTTATAAGTCTAATTCGAATGGTCATTTGAGGAAAAAGGACGGGATTGTACGACAATTGAAACATATCCGACCGCATCTGTGAAACAAATATTCCATAACGTTCAGCTAACTCGCGATGGCATCCGTATAAAAGGTATCAATGAAATAAATTAACCCTGTATTTTGTGTATCAGTACAGTTAGCAAACAAAATACAGTTCATAAATGGAAAAATGTATATAATAATAACATAAAATCCTAATTAAAAACGAATCCAGTTTAAAAAAAAAGAAAACTTAAAGAAACGATATATCAAACATTCTCAATTATATTAAACACTTTGAATTGTGAACATCATGGTGTTGCCTGTAAAAATAAGAAGATGTGGTATGATTGTCAATGAGACAACTCTCCACCAGACACCATATGACATAGAAGATAACAACTATAGGTCACCGTAAGGCCTTCAACAATGAGCAAAGGGCCCGAAAAGACAAATGTAAAAAAATCCAAACGAGAAAACTAACGGCCTGATTTATGTACAAAATAATGAACGAAAAACAAATATGATATACAGCAACAAACGACAACCAATGAATTACAGGCTCCTGATTTCGGACAGGCACATTCAGAATGTGGCGGGATTTAACATGGGACAGTGGTGTAACACTACAACTTTAGAGCAAACCATAAAAATCAGTTGAAAAGGGCTTAACTCATCAAATCGATACAAAGCAAAAAAAACATCTAACAAAAACACAGACCGGACGTTGCAGGGTGTTTATATATCCCCACAGCAAAAAAAGACACTAAAAGAGAGGCGAAGGATACAAAAGGGACATTCAAACTCATAAGTCGAATATAAACTGACAACGCCATGGCTAAAAAAGAAAAAGACAAACAGACAAACAACAGTACACAAACACAACATAGAAAACTAAAGACAAGATGCTTGATTTTTTTTATCGACAACTTATTTGTTACGATTTGAGAAGGTGTTTTTAACAGACAATCGGAATTCCAGTGGGAATCAATTATGCTCCTTGTTTTACCGATTATCATTGATTCATTTAAGACATACTTCATATAGGAGCTTCTTAAAAGAAGCTAGCTTTATCCGTTCCGCGATATAGATTATTTCCTCTCACTGAATAATTCAAAGTTTGATGACGATGTGTAATGCATTTATCCAATCGAACTTGAAATAAATGATACCACAGATACAGTTACTAATATTTTTAGCCACATATCCTGACCTTCATCTAGAAATTGACAATGAGGGTCGGTTAAGAACAACGCTTCACATAAAAGGGATAATTTTTAGCTTCCCAATTAGGATCTTTCCATTTCTTTGTATCAAAATTTTATCAGCGTCTGCATTTGGAGAATATATCTCCCATTTGAGAGGTTTAGCTAGCTATAAAACCAGGTTTAATCCACCATTTTCTACATAAGGAAATGCCTGTCCCAATTCAGGAATATGACAGTTGTTTTCCATTCGTTTGATGTGTTTGAGCTTTTGATTTTGCCATTTGATAGAGGACTACTTTCCATTTTGAATTTTCCTTGGAGTTCGATATTTTTGTTATTTTACTTTTTTTTTGATACCATGTTCCACAGCTTGAGTTTCCTATCATGATTTTCTTGATAAAGAGTTCAACTTGGTTACTTGTATCTATGATGAGTTCATTGGTGAAATTGAATTCATCTCCTCAGAAGTTTTACGGACGCCATTGGTTGACCGTTTTGGAGAATCTGTGTCATTGGTGAGCACACATATTGTCGTAACCACAACCCCGCCCTCTTGTCCTCAATTGTGACATCACAGAATGAGGCTTATCGGATTTGTACTTGCATGATCATAACGACGGGAGCAACATGTTGACCAGATTCTGCTTACCCTTCTGGAGCACCCGAGTTCATCCCCGGATTTTGGCGGATTCGTGTTGCTCGGTGTTTAGTTTTCTATGTTGGGAGTTCGTGTTGCTCGGTTTTTAGTTTTCTATGTTGTGTTTTGTTGTCTAGTCGTCATTTTGTCTGTTCATCGTTTTTCCTTTTTTGTCATGGCGTCGTCAGTTTTTCTTCGACTTATAAAGTTTGAATGTTCCCTTGGTATGTTCCGCCTTTTTTGGTTCAGTCCCCGGTTAGCCTTTGAAAGAATGATTGCTCGTAGGCGACTACGTTTCTTTCGTGGTAGAAACGGTTTTAACCTCTGGCATGGGTATCGTTTGAAGTGAGATATTGTTGACGATCTAAGTTAATGAGATCATGCTGGATCTTGAATAAATTGTGTATAATCTGTTTGTTTTCCTCTTTTCTTCTAGGCTTTCCCTTTTCAATGATTTTTTTTTCAAAATTTCTGACACACCATGGTGTTCATTCCGAGTTGTGCACAATTTGCTGCTCTTGACTACTATAGTATTCCTGTTCTAATGACCTGATGTTAAGTTGGTTTGTTTTGTCTCATACTGTGTATGAATATTCAAATGTAGGTCTTTCCATGTATGAGTATGCTGCAGCCTATAAAGGTTTTGTGCAAAGGAGTAGGGGCAATAAGGCCCTTATTTGGCTAAAATATAAGTGCAAATTTAAAGGTTATCAAACATATTCTTAAGTTTGTTCTTACTACACTAAGGTATAAGGCATATAGAAAATATTTTTTTTTACACATTTAACGAGTTATCATGGCAACAAAACATGACGAAGTTTGTATATTTTGTAAAAGTTCTTGATTTTCCTTATTTTACATCAACTTTAAAGTACATATTAGATTGGCAAAGTATGTGAAACAACTTTATATTTTGTGAGATTGTGTCATCAGTTATAACAAAGCTTCTCTTAAATTATTTTTGTTGTTTCTTGCCTGCACACTGTTTCCACAATGAACATAACGAGGAAAAATTGCATAAATTCTGCAGTTTTCTTCGTTTTCATGAAAACGGTGCAGTTTATGACGTAATCATGACGTCATTAAACCAAAAAGTTTATGTAATTAATTTATATTTCTTGACTTTTTGCATATCCAAACATTTTGTGCAAATTTGAAATTGTTTTCAAAAACTTTATTTTCTTGGACCAAAACATGGCCTTAATGTTGTTTCGGTTGACAATTCATTCATTTTTAACCCACAATCATGTGTGCTTGTATTCAATTCAATACAGATAATGTTGAGGCAATTGAACATCATGTATTTCAGAATGTATTTATAATTTAAGATTTAACAGCGATACAAATTCGAATCAATCAAGAATGTGTAGAGGATTATTGTTATTCAGCTTATTAGTATGTGCTTGTTATGCCACTCTTCCAAGAAGTGTTGTCAGAACATTAAGTGTGTCAAACGGTGGCCGCTGTGGTGAATGGCAAGAACCAAGTTTTTGTCCAGATGGACAATTTGCTAGTGGTTATAGATTAAAGGTAAACTATCATATTTAACAGTGCTGTTTAATAAGAAAGGTAAACATTTGTTAATTCTGATGTTTCCTCATCATGTTTTATGTACATACTTGAGAAAACTTCATTTGACGAAAAGATGTACAATTTTGGAAAAAGTTTAATACTATCCATGCAATGTAAAAGATATCTGGGTTTGGCTTGACACTTTTCTTATTTTCAAAAGTTAGTTTAGGTTGATGACCCAAATTTTTCAATATAACAGAACTATAAACAACTGCCATACAAGTTGGAGGTTTAGCTAGCTATTAAACTAGGTTTAACCTATCATTTTCCTCTGAAAATGCCTGTACCAAGACAGGAATATGACAGTTGTTTTTAACTTGTTCTGTTGATTTATAGCGTTTAATTTTGTCAGTTTTTATGGACTTCCCCCTTTTTTGAATATGCCTTGGAGTTCAGTATTTTTTGTTATACTCTTTTAGAGCACCGCTGGAACGTCTTACAATGTAGATATCTTCTTTTTTTTCACCGTGAAAGCACTTGTTAATGAGAGGCAAAAGATACCAAAGGGATATTCAAACTCATAAGTCGAAAACAAACTGGCAGTGCCATGGCAGAAAAAAGAAAAAACGATCTGACTACAAACAACAGTATACAGAACACAATATAGAAATCTAAAGACTGAGCAAGATGAATCCCAGCTAAACCTGGGGGCGGACACATGTTATCTGGAAGGGCAAGCAGATACTGCTTCATATGGGGCACTCGTCGTGTTGCTCATGTAAGTACAAGTCTAATTTGGTAGGTCACATTCGGGGAAAAGAGTAAAATGTCATTTGAATACTTTTTTCATGATCAAATGATACTTGAACCTCTATGCACTCGGAGGGTTTTGATGTAGAAAAAAAAGCGAACTTCTTGGTCTTTGCGAAATGATCCTATGTCAGTTATAGTATATCAATTGTAAATGTTTGACCGCTCGGCGTATTAGCAAAGGTATTTTTAAACAATGCATTACTAATCTTTTACAGTCAAAATAAAGATACAGCTGCAATTTGTGTTGTAATAATATTTGCTAATGATAATTAGAAATGGAAAAGGATATCAGTTTTGCCAACACAGATTATAAACCATTATAGATATAGACAGGAGACTAGTATGTCTATTCTTTGTTGAACCAGATTAACAATAACGAGTCACACGCAAGGAAAGGATCTGAAGAAAAACTATAAATACATATCGTCATCATCATAATAAACTACGCAAAAATAATATGGACATTAATAATAATAATGATAATAATAACATTAATAAGACTGAGATAATATTTATTGCAATGTTGATACAGATTGAACCAAGAAGAGGATCATATTTCTGGCAAGACGATAGTTCCCTGAATGGTATAGAATTATTGTGTAGTACCAGATTTACTACCTCCGATGACAGATTTACCGTATCATCTGGGTATGGTCCTTGGGGAGATTGGAAAGGATTGATTACCTGTGATAGCAAAAGACAGTTCTTAACCTCCTTCTCTCTCCAAGTTGAAGATTACCAGGAATTTTATTCCAAAAATAAGATGCATTACAACTATTATTTCTAATATGAATGTAAGCTTTGATAAGAAAAATTAAAAGGAAAAACTCTAATGACTTTTCAGAATATTTTTCAAATGTGCATGTGTACTTTAAGAAAACGGAGGGAGAATGTGACAATGTGATAATGAAACAAAGTACTGTAAGTCATGGAAAAAACATTCACAAAGTTAAAAAAGCAACTAATAGACAAACAGCAAATAAAAAACACTATCCAGAAAGAAAAAAGATATTGAGCAACAGGAACCAAACAAAAATCCGATGGTGAATTTTGGTCCTGTGGAAAGGTAAGCAACTCCAGTTCCACTAGTGGTATCCGTCGTGTTGCTTATTCGGTGATAAGTCGCATTCAGTAATGTTACAATCCAAGAAAAAAGGACAAGATTATTAGAATTATGGAATGCATTTAGATAGCAGGAATTTGGAAAGTTATATTCTTGATTCTAATCTGTTATCTTAAGTAAAATCTCGTCCATTATTTTCTATACGAATAAGATAAAAAAAAAACATACAAAATTGAAAGTACGAGAAGACAACAATTCAATAGTAGTACATTTCTGAAGATTTTGATCAGTTAAATTATTTTCTTTTACAAGAAAGTCCACGTTCATTTGTCTTATAATAAAACTTGGCCATTCAAGTATAAAAAAATGAAAATAACACAAATACCAAGCTCCACGGAAAATCCAAAACGGAAAGTCCTTTATCAAATAGTGAAAAGCTCAAACACATCAAACGAATGGAAATCAACTGCCGTATTTCTGACTTGGTACAACATATTCAACTTTTGTTTTAAATTTGTATCATATGACTTTAATGGAATGCAAATGTGTCTTTTAATTTCACACTACAGTAAATCTATCGTAAGAAAAGAATGTTTGAAGAATTAGCGAACTTTTTTTTCTATAAAAAAAAGATGCATAAAGCAATAAAAAAAAAACTCGTTTTCTTTCAAAAATGAGGGCTCTGCTATTAGTCGTTTTAACCTTTTTTTAAAACACATTTCATTGATATGCCGTTGTTAATAATGAACAGGAAACAATATAATCAAGACGGAATATGTAAAAAATAATGCATTAGCGGATTCAGAGGGAAGGTACTGGTGATATAATCAAGACGAAATATGTAAAAAATAATACATTAGCGGATTCAAAGGGAAGGTACTGGTAATATAATCAAGACGTAATATGTAAACAATAAGGCATTAGCGGATTCAGAGGGAAGGTACTGGTAATATAATCAAGACGAAATATGTAAAAAAATAAGGCATTAGCGGATTCAGAGGGAAGGTACTGGTAATATAATCAAGACGTAATATGTAAACAATAATGCATTAGCGGATTCAGAGGGAAGGTACTGGTAATATAATCAAGACGTAATATGTTAACAATAATGCATTAGCGGATTCAGAGGGAAGGTACTGGTAATATAATCAAGACGAAATATGTAAAAAATAATGCATTAGCGGATTCAGAGGGAAGGTACTGGTAATATAATCAAGACGCAATATGTAAACAATAATGCATTAGCGGATTCAGAGGGAAGGTTCTGTTAATATAATCAAGACGTGATATGTAAACAATAATGCATTAGCGGATTCAGGGGGAAGGTGATGGTAATTACCCTTCTATTTAGGGATACTGTTTGTTAAAATCAAGTAAATTGAATCCGGAAACATTTTACTTCAAAATTTCACCGATCCAAAGAAGAATCTCCAAATCCTAGCTTCCTTGCTTTTAAAAGTTACTAGACTATGCCATGATGTAAATTTTTTTTTTTTTTAAATACTTTGTATGTGTAGATTCATATTTGCAAAGGGTTTAGTATCATTGAACATAGTTCAAAGCTATGAACGATATTGCTACTATTTCTAATTTACGCACGAAAACTGAATTATTGTCAAGAATAAACAATATTTAACGAAATATTGAGAGGTTTTTTTTTTACATTTAAGACCGGGTGGGGACAAACTGAGTTTTACCTCATTGTTTTTGGAAGGGAAAGGTTGTGACATGCGGACGATAAAATATGAGTTTGAACAATTTATTGCACGAACATATTTACTTAAAATCTTGTTTATATTTTGGTTATTTTTCTGTCATTTATTACGGTCTTATTTACCTTTTAAAACATCACCGAGATCTTGTATTCATATTTCATAATGTTGTCTCAACGTAAACACATAATTATGTATTTTAACAGATAGAATGTGCACGGGCTTAATCCAGAACTATTTGAGAGGATAAGTTGATTAAATATATAGCCGTCAAAACAATTAAGATCCTTTGTTATAAAATTCGAAAATTTACAACACAGGAATTTTGCACAAAATAATATAAATTTAGTTTACACATGTATATAAGCTAGAATTGCAACAGGATACTCAAGCCCTATTGTGTTCGCAATCAGCCCGCTGACGCAGAAAAACTTTCGATCGTCAAGTATGTATTTTCTTTTTCACAGGTGTCCTTGGGCGGGGCTTGAAATTTTATTTGAGGTCGAATGTTTGAAAAGTGATCCATGACAACGATCGTTCCTTTATGAGTTGATCTGATAAAGTTTGTTTGGCTGATTATGTTGTTGGGCCTTTCGTTAAACTTGGCCGAAGTTTGAAAAAAAACTTAAAATAAATAAATAAAAATATAAAACAATGTATTATGATACTAATAAGGTACAATTGTATAATTTAAGATAATGGCATTTTCTGTACCTACCTTTTTATAACTACTTTTACTTCCCACACGGTGATTTAAAAACTGTATTTTAGTTGAAATACGATGTATTAATATTTTAAGCGCTAAACACTTATATTTTCAGGGAAATGGAGATGACACTGCAGCCAACTATGTAACATTTATTTGTCATGAGTTTATCCATCATCGCCTCTTTTACCATTATCGCGTCATTGGTGGAAGAGGTTTTTGGGGTGTTTACGGGGCTTGGAGTCAGAGTTGTCCAGCAGGAAGTGCTATATGTGGCCTGAGAACTAAGCTGGAGAGTCCTCAAGGCAATGGGGATGACACAGCGTTAAATGATGTTGAGTTCTATTGTTGTGGAAGTGATTAACATTTCTTTGTACACTACGCTTAACATTTACTTATTGTAACCTGCTGCAAATATATAGCAGTTTTACTTTAATTACAACAGTTTTGTAAAGAACACAATATGTTATCCCAACATATATATGTTTTTGTTGTTTTTAAGGCAACTGTAGTATTTTGATGTTCAAATCTCATTATTCAATTACGATCCTGGTAACAAACAAAAACTAAGGGAATTGTATTAACTACGCAAAGAGCAAGACCGGCTGCGTCGACAGGATTAACTACGAAAGATGCAAGACCGGCTGCGTCGACAGGATTAACTACGCAAGAAGCAAGACCGGCTGCGTCGACTGGATAAACCAAACAATGCTATTGATTAAAGGAGTTAAATTCATCTGTTGAAAAATTGTCTTCATCAGTTGATATTTAAGTAAACTGCTTTTGCGAAAATTACATTTCAGTTCCTTTAAATTATAAATGCAGTTCTTATTCATTGGTCGATTACACTCACAGGAAATCTGCCAAAACTTGAGTTGTGTCACACATTATAAAAAGTAAAATGTGACATATGGCTAATAATCTTGCTGAATTGATTGATATTTATGATGTAATTGAAGTTTATTTGATAGGTTGATGACAAATCTAATTAAATGAAGTTAAATTTAAACATCAATTATTTATTCCAAAATTGTTAGGGTCTCGGTGGCCGAGTGGTCTAAGTAGTTAATCTGCTGTATCACTACCCAGCCAACTCTGAGGTTACGAGTTTGAACCCCGTACGTGGCAGGTGCGCTAGACTTCAATCTTAATTGAAAAGGATTGTCAATTTTCCTGTCGAAAGTTGGTGGTTCCTTCTGGGAACTCTGGTTTCCTCCATCAATAAAGGCTGGCATCAAACAATAGCTTATTGTGCTTAAATTGGCGTTAAACGCCAATCAATCCATCGGTCTATCCAAATTTGTAAAAAAAATATTGTTAGCAATCAAAGGTCTTCAACAATGAGCAAAACGCATACTGCATAGCAAGCTATAAAAAGCCACACAATAACAAAATGTAAAACATTTTAAACGAGTAAACCAACGGTTTGATATATGTTAAAAAAAACCCAACTAAATACACATATGATATACAGCACTTAATTACAGGCTCCTGACGTGGGACAGGCACATACAGAATGTGACGGAATTAAACAAGTGTGCGGATGCTCAATCATCCCCCTACATGGGGACAGTAGTCAAACAGCAAAACATAAGAACAAACTATCGAAATTAGTTTAAAGGGGCTTGACTCGTCAGATCGAAATGAAGCACAAAATCAATTAACAAAAACACCGAAAATAACATACAGTACCAGTCTGAATGGTAGTTCCAACCCAAAAAGAACTGATGAACAAATCATGTATCAAAGACAGAAAATCAATCATGTGACTGTCATACAAGTGAGAGGTTTAGCTAGCTATAAAACCAGGTTTAATCCACCATTTTCTACATATGAAAATGCCCGTACCAAGTCAAGAATATGACAGTTGTTTTCCATTCGTTTGATGTGTTTGAGCTTTTGATTTTGTCATTTTGATAACGGACTTTCCGTTTTCGGTATTTTTGTTATTTTACTTTCTTCAGTAGGTTTAGGTGTAAAAACGTCATAAAAAGTCTAGGAAAAAACATGACATTGTACAATGTCAAATTATAAGCATCAACAGGATGTAGAGCCGTAAGCGTTGGTAACTGTATAGCAATACATATCAAGTTATGTTAAGATTAATTGAAAAGAAAATCTATACCGATGAAAACAATATTCAAAGATCTTATTTCAATGTATAATTGATAAGCATTTACATGAATCTTATCTAAATTTACGGCGTCTAAAACAACATCACCGCAAACCCTAGGATGTGATATCACGTATATAATACGTTTTACTTTCATACCAAACTTCCAAACCAAATCGTTGTATCTATAAAAGAATGTAATAAAGGTTTAAAGTAATTTGGGGTAACGAAATCCTTGACTTGATATTTTACCAATGATGCACATATTACATTCATGGAAATCTATAACGACATTACAGACTCCAGCAAAGTGAATAGGAATAAATAAACTCCGTATGATAAAAACAAACGAAACATCACTGTCCAAAAGAGGAAAATTAACATTAGGGAACGGAAAATCGTCCATTTTTCATAAATTTTAGAATTGAGTTTCCTATTTGAAACTGAAATATCTAAATCTAGGACAGGACAGCATTAATATTATTCAAGATACGTTTTTTTGGGGGTAAATTCGGTTGTATATTTAGACGAACAACGAACAAATATTACCAAGGTAACGGTAGGTGCTGTTGAATTTATCATTTGAATGAAATTATGAAGGAGGAACCGGAGTGCCCAGAGATCCATCGACCTTCGGTAGCAAAACAGATAATCCTAGTCAGTCAATTGAGATTGCCACCTGCGGGATTCGAACTCAAAACCTCAGTGTTGATAGACTAGTGATACAGTAGTTCGACTACTTAGACCATTCGGCCACCGAGCCCCCTGTCTGCTATTGAAGGGCTACACTAATTACCAATATGAATACCTGCAACCTGTCTATAAACATGGCCAAAACGTATATAGACGTTGCCGAGGAGAAAATCTAAAGCTTTAATCATGTCATTACACTTCCAGTAAGCATATCTTTTTCATTACAGAAAATTATATGAGTTTCAGCAAATAATTTTGTAATCAGATTTTCCAAAGAACCATTTAATCAAATAGGAAAACCGTTGTTTTGATAAGATTGTGTAGAAGATTAGTGTAGAGGGTAGAAAATTTCAAAACTGTCAATCGAATTTAAAGAACCACCAAAAGCACGATATTTTCTAAAACATCAAAAGGATTTTTGACCTCCAGAAATTATTAATACCATTATTTTCATATGCCTTGCTACAGAAGGTAATGATAAGTTTTTAGATAGTAGTAAGGGAGCTAGTTAAAAGCAGCAAAACATTAGTTTGTAGAACATTTAAAAGAGGCCGAGATGAAAGGATTTTGACAGTTTTTTTGTGTGGTTTAGGTAGCCAATATTTAGTGAAAATGTTCAGATCATGCATTAAGCTGAAATGTGGCATTAATATGATTGTTTTCTTGATTCTATGTGGATCGCACGGACCTGAATGTGGAAGAATTGATAATTTCATTCTTTAAAACTTCCGTGTACACTACCAGGAATTTACATAGCATTTACATGTACTTTTAATGCCACTACATATACAGTACTGATAACAAATATCATCAATCAGTACATTTCTTACCCATATTGTTTCAGTACATTTATTAATATGCATGTTTTTAGTAATGTTGAAAAAAAGTTGTTTTCAGTACTGAAAATTTTAGTCATTTTTCAGTACTGAAAGTTTTAGTCATTTTTTAGTACTGAAAATTTTAGTCATTTTACTGTAAGGAAAATTTCAGTCATATTTAGGTACTGTAAATTTCAGTCATTTTGAAGTACTGAAAATTTTAGTCATATCCAAGACCTAATTAAAAAGTTCTCTGTTATGCTATCACAAATATTATTAGATGGTTTGGGAAAAATACAAGTATTTTCTTTTAGAAACTCCATTGCTGTAATTCTTCTTACATTTCAACCCGTAAAGGCATTGGACCATACTTAAAATTGGACCTGACATCATAACTTACATGTACATAGGTTTAAAAACTGGTGCTCAGGATATAAAATTATATCATATTTGGTGAGTTACAATATCAACAATAACAAAGCAAGAAGAAATTGGTATATTTTGAAAAATTTCTTTTATTCCCTTGCTTTGCTTCAACTTTGATATGCGTACTGTTTTTGTACATTAAACTGGATTGACAATTAAAACTTTAACAACTTTATATTTGACGGAATTATGTAAATAGTATAAGCAAAGAAAGCTTCTCTAAAAATGTTGCTTGTTATCTTACTGCAGACAATGTTCCAAAGAAACATAAAAGGAAAACTGCAAAAAGAATGCACTTTTTTCGTTTTTGTGAAATATGTGCATATTATCATGTAATTATGACATCATAACATTATATATGTTGTCAAATGCATTTGTGTTTCTTGATTTTATATATTTCTCTTATATCATGCCCAAATTTGAAGTACATGTACTCCCGGAAACTACCATTTTCTTGGGTCTTATATGGATGGACCTTCATTCCAAACAATTTTCTTTTCCTTCATGTCCCATGAAAAAATAATGTTAAACACAGAATAAACAGATATTTCAGTGATTACTTTTCATAGAAAAAAGATGGTGTTATGTACATGTAAGCAACAATCTTAAAATCTTAAAATATTACTGTCATTTTAGATAAAATGTTTAACGTCACAAAACAAAAGCGATGTGTGTATGATTGACGTCAATAGGTTAGGTGTAGCCGGATCTCAAATAGTGATTAGGGACGGACGACCATTGATTCTGAAAGTGGGTGGGTGCTGGCAGGTTTTGATAATAAATATTTTGGTACCCATTTAGTTGGAAATAAACTTCATAATATATATTCTGACCCAAAATAATGAAAACGTATTAAGTTTTTTCACTCGCACTGTTCGCCAAATGTACAAAGCATGTACATATATACAACACATGAATACTGTCGGTAGCAGATGACCATGAAAAAATATATAATTTTGGGCTTAAAATCATAAAAAAAAGTCAGATTTACTTTAGCTTTTGTGATAATTATGTTCCTTCATAGCATTTCTTCTTTTTACTGCTCTAAATATAATTATTGTTATGTTAATTTGAGGAGAAGCATGTTGTTTAAGGTTTAAGAAAAGTATTAAAGAAGGAAAAAAAACAAAAAACTTTGATTTTATTGAATTAATTTTTCACTTTTATAAATGTTACATATTTGTATTGTTTATTGTATATTTGTGTTATTTGAAGCAGTCTGATTGTTTGGATTTTACACTTGTAAATATTTGACATCTTATATCATAGGACCCATGATCACCCCCACCCCCCCCTTTTTTTTGCTATTCTATTATATTTTATAAAAACACCAATCTCGAATTGAATTAATGAATTACAAAGATTATAAATAACGTCAATCAATCAGTTTCTACTGTGACGTAATGACATAAGCATTGTGACATAGGAAATATACGGGGAGGTGCACAAATTCTAAAGCCGTCTATATCCTCTTGACTTGTACACAGGGGGTGTCGCAACCTACAAATTTGAGTACAGACGTCCAGCTGGGGAATATATTTAATATTTAATAAGAAAATCACAACCCATTTATAAATATTTCTCAACTATAATGATGGAAATCTGATTTCAATGAGACGTTAACCAAAGGGGATCTCTGATGATAAAAAGATCAAAACACAGTTTTTACAGACATCTTAACAAAAGAGAAACATGTATGACCCATTGACATATATAAATTTCTACCAATTGATAAATTACCTCCTTGAATTTGCACCCCATTGATATATTTGACATTTAAAAAAAGTGACCCATAGCAGCTGTAGCTCTGTGTTAGTCCAAATAATTATGACGTCTTGAAATTATGGAACGCCACAGCTGTCTTATGTGGAACTCTGATATTACTTTATGTTGTTTTATTATTACTTGATGATATTTAGTCTTTACTTAATATGGTTTTGACATTACGTAATGATGTTT